CCAAAGCTGCACAGACCTAGGTCCCCAGAGTGGCTATGGTCAGGTCATGGGGTCTGCAATTTTGGGGGGGCCAAAGTTCCAACGTTCCAAAACTGCACAGACCTAGGTCTCCAGAGTGGCTATATGGTCAGGTCATGGGGTCTGCAGCTTTGGAATTTTGGTGGGGGGACCAAAGTTCCAAAGTTCCAAAACTGCACGGACCTATAGGTCTCCAGAGTGGCTATGGTCAGGCGAGTGAGAGTGAGTGAGTGTGGGTGAGAGTGAGTGTGAGTGAGAGTGAGAGGGAGTGAGAGTGAAGGTGGGTGAGTGAGTGTGGGTGAGAGTGAGAGTGAGTGTGAGTGAGAGTGAGAGTGAGTGAGAGTGAGAGTGAGTGAGAGTGAGAGTGGGAGAGTGAGTGAGTGTGAGAGTGAGAGCGAGTGTGAGTGTGAGTGTGAGTGGGGGCAAGAGTGAGTGTGCGAGTGAGAGTGAGAGTGAGTGTGGAGTGTGAGTGTGAGTTTGAGTGAGCGTGAGAGTGAGTGGCGGCAAGAGTGAGTGTGAGTGTGAGTGAGTGTGTGAGTGAGAGTGAGAGAATTTGCGCGTCGAGATTCACAAAGTGCTGTGCCTGCCACGAAATATGCGCGTCGAGGTTCACAAAGTGCTGCGCCTGTCACGAGCTCTGCGCGTGGAGCTTCACAAAGTGCTGTACCTGCCACGAAATCTGCGCGTCGAGATTCACAAAGTGCTGTGCCTGCGACGAAATCGGCGGGTCGAGGTTCGCAAAGTGCTGTACCTGCTACGAAATCTGCAAACGAGCCGCATGTCGAAAAGCAACGATTCACTGCACCTGTCGCGAAATGTCCAAAGTGCTGCGCCTGCCACGAAAGCTGCAGTTCGAAGTGAAACCGCTCCGATCCCTTGCACCTGTTACGAAAAGTCGACTTTCAACCACGAAAACATGATGTGCTTGCCACGAAAAGTCATCACCATGTGCAACAATGCACACGGCACCGCAACGAGAGCGCAGTCATTAGAAGCACCCGCCGCGGACACTCAGATTCAGCGAGCCTGCGCAGTTGAAATGCGCGTCGACGATTTCGAGAGGCATGCGTGTACTGTAAATAGCAGCGAATTAGCCGGACACGCCCGCGCGCTTCAGCGACCTAAGCGTCAGCTGCTTTTCTACTACCGCAAGAACCCCTTAGTATGTTCACACTGTTTGGGGAAAAAACTTGTCTTTGTTGCCGGCTTATTGTACTAGAATACTGCCAAAAGCAAAAACAGAAGGTATTTTAGCTTTTTAATATCAAATATTTTGCTTTACTCAAAAACTTGCTTTTTGGTTGTAGCCAGCCTTCTTTAACCATACATAGTGAACTAGACGACGAGTGGCCCGAAAGCATTTTTCATCACGCATGAAGTCAGTGTGCGAGTTATGTGTTATGTGTTCAGTGTGAAGTGTTAAGTCGAGTGTGTTGAGGCAGTGTGTGGGTCTCTGTGTGTGTGCATCTATGTCTGTGTGTCCCTACGTCGTGTGAACAATGTTTCTCAATCTGTGGGTCTCTGTGGCCCCAAGGACACAAAGCTGTAACGCCCTCACCGGCGGGCAAGCGGTGACAGCTCCGCTCAAGGTCGCGAGCGTTCGAGCTGCTGGTAAGGGCAAATGGTGAAGTTCTTCACTCTAGATATAGCGAGCCAAGTAGCGCGCAGGCCTCCCAAACCCCCCACCGGCGGCCAAGCGGTGACAGCTCAGCTAATCTTCGTGAGCATTTGAGCTGCTGGTAAGGGCAAACGGCGAAGCTCTTCACTGTAGATATAGTGAACCAAGTAGCGCGCAGGCCTCCCAACCCCCCCACCGGCGGACAGCTCAGCTCATCTTCGAGAGCATTTGAGCTGCTGGTAAAGGGAAATAGTAAAACGCGTAGGTCTTCTGTCTGGGAGCCCGGACCTCGTTGAGACGTTACATCCACCAGAGAATGTCCATTCCTTGAGAAGCAGCGTTCACGCCTCCAGGAAATCTCACCGAACAAACCGAGCTGGAATGAACGTAGAAAATTGCTGAGGCAGCTACGCAACAAGTTTGGCGAAGCAGTGACCGTGAAGTTGTGAAATCAAGAGGAGATGTGTCCATCGATATACGGTCAGAGGTAACGTTTCCTTCACTCCGCCACACACTGTTTGCCAACATTTCACATAATACCACCAATCATGCCTCTCTGAAGGGACACGCCGTCTTGACAGACACTCTTGTGGGACACTCTTGTGGGTCATCCCGAGCTACTCCGCGTACTAAAGTTCTACTACAAAGTCGCCAGGTCTCGTCTTCCAGCTCCCCAGCTATTCCGCGTACTGGAGTTGTACTACGAAGTCGCCCGCCAGTTCTCATCTTCCAGCTCCCCAGATACTCCGCGTCCTCAAGTTGTACTACCAAGTCGCCAATTCTCATCTTCCAGCTCCCCAGATACTCCGCGTACTACAGTGGTACTACAAAGTCGCCAGTTCTCCTCTTCCAGGTCTACCACGACGCGATCTCCGCAGAGGGTCGCGCGCGCATGGGACAAATCGCACTCTCGCCTGCATTTCGCGCACTCGACACTCACTCTCACTCTCACTCTCACTCTCACTCTCACTCTCACCTCTCACCTCTCACCTCTCACCTCTCACCTCTCACCTCTC